AAAATACTGTCATACATTATTCAGAACAATCTGTTTAAAAACGTGTGCATCTTTCACAATTGTTCTCAGTTATACCGTCATGCTAAGACGTGCTTAATTGCTCCCATCTGGCTTATCCTCTTAATCCCAGAAAAACCGCTTCAATAGAAATCACTGCTAATGTTTTTACCATTTTAAATAGCACACTTCCAATATTAATATAGCAACTGATCAGCTATATTAAAAACCAATTTAAAAATTCATCTGGAGTCCAAGCTCAAAATTATAACTCTTGTCTTCCATCCAACTCAGCATGCACTCTGGATCTAACTTATCTGCTTTTTGGCACAAATTAGACACTTAGTGGGAAGTGAAAACATACTTCAGATCCTAGGAAAATAAGAGTCATATGAAGGTGGCTAAATTGAGGCAATGTAACCAGTCATTCTGGGGAAACGCAATGCTCGTTAAAGACGGTGATACTGGTTTAGAAAAAAAAAATAGTTCAGGAGAGAGAGATAAAAAGGGGGAAAGGAAGAAGCAAACCAAAAAAATCTACTTAAGAGGAAAAAAATACTGCTGCTGATTTATTTGCTTTGCTATTTCTATCTCAGTATTACTTCTAGTTTTCAGAACATTTTGCATTAATCTGTTTATCTCAACAGTTTTCATGAGCTGTCAATATTCTACACACCATACTCTTGGCAGCCATTTTAAAAATTACTTGAGTATGGCTTATATTAGAAGAATTTTAATATTTCCAGATACGTCCAGAGAAAAGGAATAATGAAGTCATTATCTGTCATCCAAAACTATTTGTTCCCTTGGCTTGCATGTAAAACAAAATTTTACTTCCTCGTGCATTCATGCTTGAGATAGTCAGAAGCACTGAAATACACATCTAACAAATATTAACATAATGAACTTATTCGGAGCCATTAAGAGCAAAATCATGTCAAATAGGCCTGGATTTGAGTCCTAACTCTGCCAATTAATAGTTGTGAGGCCTTGGGTAAATGACAACAATTTTATATCTCAATTAACTTATTTGTGACATACTCAACATAGTATCTGTCTCAACGGTTGTTTTTAAGATAAGAAGATACAGAGTTCAGGAGATCGACTAGAACATTGCACATAATAAAAGAGCTATTCTTAATATTTATAATAATAGTTATAATAACTCAAAATAGTTTAATAGATAAAATATGTAATAAACTTACTATTAATCAAATCCTAAATACCTTATTCATCTCTCATAAAACGCACAAACTGTTAAAAGCACCGTGGATTCAGTATCAGTAAGTTTTCTCTCCTGATCATGCTTTAATTCTAAGTGACCCTGAGCAATTCTCTAAACCTCTCTGAGCTTATCTCAGATTGATCACTTATGGAATGGATAACTTAAGTTCTTGTCTTGACCATAAGAATTCATCTAGCATTTTAAGGGTAGAACTGAAAGGACAGAGGAATAGGGGTCCCTAGGTTATAGCTAACATGAGCAGTTATCCTGGGTTCTCCTAGCAAGCATGGATCCTGTCTGTAGGAAGTAACTCTGAGACTGACCTACATGGTTCAAAAAAATGAACCAAAATTAGTAAATTCCATTAAAACAGCTCATCGTTTATCTAAATGTTCTACCCAGTAATCAGTCTGGTCTTTCCCTCTTCCATACAGACCAAAGGAGCAGTCTATCAAGATTATTTTGAGGGTATTTCTACCGTACACTCATATTAAAATGAAACACGCACACAGTGTGATGGAAACTTGTTCCAAGCCTGCTACATGGAGCGTTGGTTTAGGTTTAGACTGAGTCCTTAGGTCCCCTTCCTGGCAATACTTGTTTTTTTTTTTTAAATCTGTATACAGTTTCCATTATTAGACACACTCTGAAAAGGGCGAAAACATTCTCAGAAAAACTATAAAATCATCTCAAATATTTCAACACTGTTCTGAACTACTGTCAACACATAGTAAGCCATGGATGCTTCATTTATCAGAAAGTAATTTGGTTTCTAAATACTTTCAACTAAAACTACTCTAGAGAAAATTCAGGTGTAGCTGATAATTAATAATATAGCAAGATCCCTGAATTTTACAGGGTCCATTCTATTAGCTGACAATACAGGCTAGATTTTAAATGTTTAAAAATTGTGTGTGAGAAAAGAAGTCTGTGACAGATATGTAATTCATGACTCAGTTTTTTAAATTAATCAGAATGGACAACACTAAAAAGTCCACAAATGATAAATGCTGGAGAAGGTGTGGAGAAAAAGGAACCTACCTACACTGTTGGTGGGAATGTAAATTGGTGCAGCCACTATGGACAACAGTATGGAGGTTCCTCAAAAACTAAAAATAGATGTACTATATGATCCAACAGTCCCACTCCTGGACATATATCATAATTTGAAAAGACACCTGCACCCTAATGTTCACAGCAGCACTATCTGCAATAGCCAAGACATGGAAACAACCCAAATGCCCATAGACAGATGACTGGATAAAGAAAATGTGGTGTATATATATTCACACACATAATGGAATACTACTCAGCCAAAAAAAAATAAAATAAAATAATGCGATTTGCAGCAACATGGATAGATTGTTGAGAGATTGTCAATCCAAGTGAAGTGAGTCAGAAAGAGAAAGAAAAATACCATATGATATCACCTATATGTGGAATCTTAAAAAAAAAAAAGGGACACAAATAAACTTACCTACAAAACAGAAACAGATTCACAGACAGAGAATAAACTTAAAGTTACCAGGAGGTAAAGGGGGTGGGAAGGGATAAATTGGGAATTTGAAATTTGCACCTCTTGGGGAGTGATGGAAATGTTATCTATCTTGATTGTGCTGGTTGTTTCATTCCTGTGCACCTCTATCAAAATTCGTCAAATTGTACATCTGAAATATGTGTAGTGTACTGTACAGGAATCACACACCAATAAATGTGTTTAAAAAATTAAAAAAAAAATTAAGCTCCACTTTGCTAAGGAAAAAAAAATTAATGCAATTCCACTTGACTAGATTTACACAGACCAAAAAGAATATATTCTTAATATTTTAAAATACTGATGAGCCAAGACCCATATGTGTGCATACCTCTTTGGAAGATATCTTCTGCTTTAAGTAAAATTTCAAAGTGAAAATGATAACCTGCTCCAGTGGTTAAAATCAGTCTTAAAATTCTCCCTATAATATTTATTTACCCCTCTACACAATAACCACTCAACTTTTACTTAGTGTTTCCCTTTCTGGATTGCTGATTTTATGAACCACAGGCATGAACTAGCAATGACTAGTTTTTCTCTCATATGCAGTGTCAGTCTTCAGGGTGCAATAACTGTACACTTAATATCAAATAAAATTATTAAGGTAATTTCCATATTACATGATTTTTCCTTGATGCTATTCACCAGGAGAGTTTCCTCAGAGGTATACTTAGCAGGCAGAACTATCCTAAGCAGCATTAATCAAACACACTCAGGACTGTATATCCAGACCAACTCTGATAGAAAGGATCACTCTGCAGTCTTCTGTCTCCATGGAAGCAACCAACTACCTCAAAGGAGTTATCAGATTCTGAGTACAATCTAGGACAAAACCAGTCTAAAAGCCGTAAAAATAATGGTGTGGTATGGTCACAGGAGGAAAATTCTCCACGAGACCAAAACCTTTTCAATGAATTTATAACTCAGCCCTTTAGTAGGGGTTCTGAAGGGAAGCAAATGAGGTCAGGATCCTTTCTAAAACCAGATAAATAGCTGATGGTTAACATTTACTAACGGCTCGCTGTTTGTCTGACAGAGTATTACCTGGATTATCTCATCCCATGTTCCCAACAGCTCCTTATGAAGTGGGTAGTATTACCTTCACACTTTACAGATCAGGCAACGAAAGCTTAGAGAGGTTAAGCAACCTACCCCAGGTCAATGGGACCTAGAAAATGGCAGATGGTATTTGAACCAATTAACCAGAATCAGAATACGATCTCCAATCTAAATCTCCCAAGAGGAAAAGAGTATGACACACTAAGACACCAACACAGCTCATCATTAAATGTATTTAGACACCCATATGAAGTCAAATACTGCCCTCCAACATCTTAGGGTCTTCAATACCTTAGAAAGAAATTTTTTATCTTCCTTATCCCCTGTAGAAAATCAACAACTCAGTATTTGGGAAAAAGACAAGATAAATATATACAGGAGAATTTACAGGAAACTGCACAACATATTTCATGAAATAATCATAGCAGCTGCATTACTATTCATTTTTACCTCAGAAAAAGCCTACTCATATGCATCCGACTCCATTTTTTTGTTTTTGTTTTTTGTTTTTTACTACCCATCCCCAATTCTCACTTCTACTCTACACTTCAGCCTCACATTTGTATATGTATCATGGGAGAGATTATTATTTCCTAATAAAATTAGAAGCTCTTTTTAAAAAAGCCAAGAGTATTACCTATATCCAAGTGTAACTCAGTTTGGACATATAAAATTTACAAAGTGATTTAAAAGTTTCAGAAGTAGGTTGCCCTAATTAAAAAAAGAGAGAGAGAGAGAGAAGAGCTTCAATATTCTATTAGTGACTTTCTCCTGCATGTGAATTTTGTCCCCATCATTATCTGACAGATTTTCTTTTATTAAGACCCTGTCTTTTACAGGCACCACTTTCCTGGATTAGGACAGCATCCTAATTCTTATTGCTGAGAAAAGGATTTAAAACATTGACTTTGGGCCCAACTTCAAAATGAGATCTTAGGAGTTGAAGAGTTCCCAGATCCATACGACACCCAATTACATCAAAGTAAAACTACATCTTACCTTATCACCTTGCATACCGGGGGGCCCCATTAATCCAGAAAGACCTTGATCACCCTAAGAACAAAACACAACAGAAGTTTAATGTTATGAAAGAGAACTGAAAATTATAATTCCCTTGCTACAGGATTTCATCTTGGATATCAAAATCTTACTGCATTCATTTCTGATCTTCTCAATTTGACTCAGATTCCATCCCACTTCAGGGCCTTTTGGACCTTTCCGGAGACTCCCAGCCCTTATTTCTCCCAGTGCTGATTAACTGGAGGGTCTTCCCCACCTCCACAGCCCTGCTTCTTTGTCTCTGATGTTCTTTTCCCTAGGACTGTCCTTACTCTCCAAATTCCCATTGTTCAAAGGTTTACTATGTTTTAAAAATATAAAGGAACTGACTTAAAAATTCTACAAGCACTTTGTGAAGCAGCTGTGGAAGGCTCCGGCCTCCCTTTTTGGTGAGGACCTGCAGCCCGGTGGGACTCCCACGTGGACCCTCCAGGCAGGGCTGTGCGGGGCCAGACTGTTCACTCTGCGCACCAGGGACACGGGCACTTCCGTTTCCGGGACTGCCCTAGCGGCTTCCGCTGTGGCACCCAGAGTAACTGCCGTGAAAATGTGTTGAGAGGACCGTGTGTGCGTCTCCACAGACCCAGCTTCACGGATTGGGGCCCTTTACCCACTGTTGGCAAATTTGATGAGAGCCTGCGAGCAGGGGGAAGGAGAAATTACACTGGTGAGGGGGAAGGAGTGTCCGTGGAAGTGACAAGGAGAGACACAAAGGAAGGAGGCTGTGTGAACGGCCAGGGATAAAATGTCAAAAAGGAATCGGGGTATAATTTTAAACCACTTTACTCAAGGTGCACTTTTTCTTTACCTCCTTTACTTTCCTTCTTTCTACTGCAACAAATTTATTGTGCATGAAAAAAAAAACTGTTTGAAAAAAAATAGTAATACTCAAGTGATTTAGGATTCTAAACTCCTTAATGACTGCTTATGTGCTATTTAATTTTTGGTGCATTATCTACTTTAATATGTCATCAAGTTAAATAATCAGAAGAGAAAAGGATGTTTCTGATTATTAACAATAAAGTGCTTTTCCATTTATTATAATATTTTAATGTTTCTTCTCAAAGTTTTATTAAGATGGCTTCCATTTGCTATGGGATGATGGGTTATACAGATGGATGGATGGATAGATAGATAAATTTTTTACACTTATTACTCTGATAAGGGCAGAGAGAGGGAAACGCACTAGGAAACAGAAAACTGGAGGCTTATTTCCTACTAGCTCAATCAGGGGTAGATCACTTAATTTCCCTTCAAAATTGCACTGTATGAAAAATGAGAATATTATCTCACTCTTCTTATGGGAAAGCAAAAATTACTACTAGTTAAAAGTAATCTTTGCTGCTATTGAGGTCCCAAAAGGCCTTAAAACACTTACGTATGCCCTATGAGAGATGTTACTCACTGGATATTTCATGTTGAAGGACTAGCCCCTGCATTGCTTTTATTGTTTCATCATTGACTATATATTTATTGTAAAAATAGCTAAATGGTAAAAAATAAAATCCAGTTGTTTCCCAGTACCCCTATACTCACACCATTTTAATCTTTGTATTTTATTTGTATTTATACTACATGTGTATAATATCCTTTCTCAGTAAAATTGAACCAAATTTTATGTACACATAATTTCTAAGACATTGTTTTTAAATTTTACCATTTTAGAAATATTCCTCTTATTTTGAAAGTTGGATTTCACTTAAAGCTCAATGGCAACATGCTATTAAATCCTGTATCTTACCACATTTTTCCTATATAGTTTTGACCACAGTTAGTGTCTGAGTAACTCAAAAAGTAAAAAAAACACAAAACACTGACACACTTCCAAGCCTCAACTCTCAGGCCAAATCACCCTACATTTTATACAGATACTGTACACATACGGAACTACCCTATACTTTGTACAAAGAAGCCACAAGGAAAGATAAAACTAAGCATTTGATAAAATCTTAATGCTTATTTTGGGGAGTTTATTTAAAGCAGTCACCAAAAGAGAGTGGACCTTTAATTTCTAAGTTTTAAGTAAGAAATCAAATTTCCTATATTTGGATATTTTAAAAGATGGCATCTGATTCTCAGATTGCAGAATTTTTTTCCTTGTAATAACTAAGGGACCAATGAAAATGCTGTTTCTAATAATAAACTTCCATTCCTTTTCTAAATTATTTAGATGCAGTGAATTCAGTTCCATCACAGTAATAAAATTCTTAAGATTCCAGATTAGACTTTTTTAGGATTTAATTGTTTTTAATTGTTAGTATAATATCTGTAAATTCCGTTAATGTGATGTAATTTTTTTTTTTTAACAAGAGTTTCTGCAAACCACTTAAAAGGGAAGATTTCAACTCCGGAACCACAAAAATCATTCTTGGGTTTTAGAAGTTTGTAAATGTATGCCACATAAACAAAAACATCCTGTAATTTAATCACATTCATCAAGTGAATGTCTAAATAAAGCTTCCCAGATAAATACCTAAATACTCCATTTGTATTCAAACTCACTAGAAAACAGTATCTTCCACTAGAAAACAGTATCTTCCTTCTAATACAGATTTGCTTCCTTCTAATAGAGAAACATTAGTTTCTTTTTTACCTAAATGCATTTGTTGTGTGTGTCTGTATTTGAGAATGTTATGGTAAAATGAAAAGCACAGTGTACTGAAAGTCAGAAAACTTAGATGTATTATTAACTAAGATAATGATAACTACCTTTCTCGCAGTTGCTATGGGACTTAAACAAGATAAAGTATGTAGAACTATTCTAAAAAAAAGGTGTAAAATGGCATTTGTATATATAATGGCATCCATAATAACAGCAAAATTTTTGAGGTGAGGACCACATGTATCTTCTCTAATTTTCTGCCCCACCCATTTCGAATTGGCAGGCAGCACCATGGCATGCCAGAGCAGACATTCAATAAAATTAATGGTAAGACTGAAATGGATAAGTTAGGCTGATGATTCCATTTACTTAATTCTTCAAATATTTCTGCCTTCATTAAAATCCAATAGTTATCTATTTTCTCTGTCTGATATCAAGTAAGATCTACATTTTAAAAAGATAAAAATGATTTTTAAATGTTTGAAATATATCCCTGTGATTTTATTTCATGGATAATTACCTTTTCTCCAGAAACTGCTTGACCCGGGGAAAAACCTGGATCTCCTTTGGGACCCTAAATAAAATAGTTATAAAACACTTGATGAAACAAATCACATGTATCATACTGCATTTGTATGCACTGTCAGATGCTATACACATTATACGGTATCAAATAAAACCATATATTTTAAATTGAGATCAACATGGATTATTTATGTTTTAGTGTATATTTTTCTTATCCTTAATTTTAAATGTTGAGAAGATTCCTAGAAATTTCCCAGACATAGATGATTTTTCTAATCAACACTATACTACTACTGAAACATCTTTATGGGAACTACATAAAGGCTCTATTAACTTTTCCATTTTTTGACATATTGAGTTGTAATTCCTATTTTGGCATGAGAAAACTAGTTACTTTTAGTAAAAGAAAATTGCTTATAATAATTCTTAACATTTTAAGACATCATTCCAAATTTATTTTCTAAACTTTTGCAACGTACATGCCTTTTTTTATAATAAAAAAAACCCAAAAACACCCCTACTTGCCAAAATTCTTCTTATTCTGTGTTAAAATAGATATTTTTCATACAATGGGAATCTTTGTTTTTTATATTTCAAGAGAATATGACATTAGGTTTCAACCGAAATTTTTGCTATCTTTTTTTATTATGCATACCAGCAAAATATCTCCTTTTGTAACTATTTCCCACTTCATGAAATACACAGAATTGAGACTATCATTCAAATTCTGATTTCTGATTACCATTTGCAACTAATAATAAATAATTTTCCACTCCTAAGTGCTGTTTTCACCCTGTGGGAAATAGTCACATATTCAGGGATGCTTTCAAACAGCACTCAAACTGACCAATAAACGAAAGAAGACCAAAAGAAAAGTCCTTCATGTTCCCCAGTAAGCCTTCCCACTTTATAAATTAGAAATGAGTCTTCACGGGCAAGAGTTCTGTCTCCAAGAGTCAAAAAAAATGTTTATGGGAAAGGTTGTTTCCCAGAGTGACCTCTTCCCTTTCCCACAGCTATCACCACTTCTACCACTAAGACTATAAATTTGGATTATTGGTTACTAGATTACATGACCAGACAAATGGCTTTAGTGATATCTCAATATTTAAGAACTCAATTCTTCATTTAAATAAAAGATAATATACTAGAATTTATGAGATAGAGCTTATTTAGTAAATCACATTTGTAGATAAAGAAGTAATAAGGTCCAGAAAAGTTAAATAAATTAAGATTGCCTAGAAAAGTATTAGTAAATCAGGTCAATTTTCTTTCTCATATCACTATGTCTATTAAATAAAAATTGTACTTATCAATTTTAGTATACTTTAATCTTCTAATATAAAGCCTAACCAATTGACTTGAGGCAATATAAAAAAATTTAAAAAGAACTTAAGAAATGATAGCCCTTGAGAAATGTGAATATAATAAAACTTTTATGCAATGCTTTTACTTGCAATTCTCACACTAAAAATTCTTATTTTTAGGTCTTATATGAGTTATCTATTATATACCAACTTCCTTAATATCATTATCTTTCAGCCTTCTTGACATCATTACCTAATTTGACATTTCATCTTTTACTTAAAAAAAAATTGAAAGAGTGGCAAAAAGTAATCAATTAAGCAGTAAAATTAGATGTAAAAGACAGATTTTTCTTATTCACAAGCTTTCTACATCTTGACAAATTTAAAGAGATACATGTCTAATTTGTGTGGTTTTTTACTGCCACACAAATATGCTTGAGGTAAATGATCAACTCATGTTCTAGAACCAGAAATTTCAGTCAGCATGAAGAAAATTCTTTTAACCTGGCCAGTATAAAATGTATGGGTCAGAGATTATTTAACACGCCAACTTTGCTTGAAATGTCAAACTAGGGCTTAAATTTAAGTAGAACAATCCAAAATTTCACTTACTTTCTCCCTCATTTTGTATTAATTCTGTGATTTCTGATACAGTTTTAGCCACATTTCATTGACTTTTCATAACCTCCTTGGAATTAAAAATAATCTTCATTAACTAATTAATCATAATTGAATTTGACCTTCAATACTTTTACTTACTCCTACATGATTTTTATTAAAGGAACTATATATCCTTTTTTAGTATGAGTAAGAGGTAAAAGGAAGTTGCCTATAATTTATTACTCAAAGGATGACAAAAGTCCCACCTACCTCACTGATCTGTTATAGATCTAAAATCATCATTATCAGAGTAGCTCTTTTAGACTGTTATGGATCCCTAGAAGGCCCTCTGCCTAAGCAGAAAAACTCCCTAAGGTATTAGGCCCATTAAGATGTTAGAACAGATTTATCAGATTATAGTCCCACAATATAATGGAAAGAGCATTGGGATTTAGAGTGAAAAGACTAAACAAATCATTTAATTTGTCTAAACTTGAATTTTCTCTTCTGTGAAATGGGAATAATAACACCTACCTAGATTAGCTTGAAAGATTTAGGATTAAAATCTCTATAGATATATAGATGTTAGTAGTTAGCATTAAAAATAATAGAACTAAAGATAATCATTATTAAAATAAATGTTACAATTGTAGCCATCTTGAAAAGCAGAGAATGCAACTCTTAAATGAATTATTGATGGGACAGCAAAATTTTAATAAAAAGAATTTGGAATTAAAAAATTCACTGTATGAATGAGCTAAATTGGGAAATTTCCATAAAGGAAACACTAAATGACATGATCTTGAGGTAGTATAACTTGAATATTCTTGGCTTTAATATTACCAATAATAACATTACACAAACTCCATAATCTCAATTTTAAGC